GTAGACTAGTCTGTAGACTGTAGACTAGTCTGTAGACTAGTCTGTAGACTGTAGACTAGTCTGTAGACTGTAGACTAGTCTGTAGTCTGTAGACTAGTCTGTAGTCTGTAGACTGGTCTGTAGACTAGTCTGTAGTCTGTAGACTGGTCTGTAGACTGTAGACTGGTCTGTAGACTGTAGACTAGTCTGTAGACTGGCGTGATGCAGACGAGTTACTAGTGATCGGTAGTCGTAGTAAACAGGAATGCTTAGAATGAGCTGATGATCAACATGTCTGCCTGCTTTGTGTCTGCTGTAGATTTCTACAGGTTGATTTTATTTTTATTCCCTTTTTAATAAATAAACAAACGTTTAACTTTCGCCTCCATGTGACAAAAGGATTCATTTATCTTTTTCTCGTGTTCACTTCAACCAAATGAGATGCGTGTTAATTGGTGAACTTCAGAGGGGTGTTGTTGAACCTTGTCTTGATGCTAAGCTAGGCTAACCACGTCTTGACTTTGTAACAATTATGCGATATCCATCTGAACATTTAACTATTTTACTGCTCTCTTAAAGTAGCAACATAACTTTTCAAATCTACTAACTTCACCATTCTAGTTGTTTCATTACTCATCAGTAAAGACTGAAGCTCCCTCTTCTTCCTTTGAGTGTTCATTGTCCCCAAGGATGAACCGCTGAGGCTTAAAGAGAACCAATCTAAAGACTGACGGAGTCTTTAATCTGAAGACATTTACTTCATAGGAACAAGTTAAAGCAAAACAATCAACTGCTTCTTCAATTCTGGAGTCTGCATCTCTCTGTGTTTGAGACGTCCAAAGAGCAAAGAAAGAGCTGAAATATACACATGTAGTATACGTATATTCAGTTGCACTCAAAATGATTCAACCCCCGTTGAAAATTTGGTTTACTGGCAAAATTGACAAACTTTCAGCTGTTTTCAATAAACAACTCAAACAAGGACAATTTAAATAGCTCAACACAGCTATTACTACAAGTGGTTTCTCCAAATTCAACACTAAATGCTACTTTCATGACTACTGCAGTCTCAAAATGATTCAACCCCTTCATGACGAGCATCTTTAGTACTTGGAGAACCCTTCTGCTGTTATGACCTGATGCAAACGTGATGCATCGCCAGACATGTTCTGACAGCGTTCCAGAGGAATCTTAGCCCATTCCTCGTGGGCAACAGCCTCCAGCTCTCCAATATTCTTGGGTTTGCGTGCTGCAACCGCCTTCTTCAAATCTAACCAGAGATTTTCAAGTCAGGCGACTGACGGCCACTCTGGAATCTTCCAGGACCTTTTCTGAAACCAACCCTAACCGGAAGTATCCAAGGTACTACATCCCCCTTCTTTTGAAACAAAACCTGGCTATAGCTGCCAAATGAAATGGTAAACATTATGCATTTAAACATTTCAGAAAAACTGCATATCGGCAGCTACGTATGCCAAATCTGCAAGAACACTGTTACTGAAGGAAATATGAAAACAATTATCTCATCAACAGTTCAGTCTAAACGGCATTTCAACTATTTCAAACTTCAACACTTTATTTTCATGAACATATCCTTCAGTTCTTCTGTTGGGTATCACAAGTCTAATACGTCTCGAGGCTTCACTATGCGGCCTGATCTGGTGGTAGTACAGTCTGGTGGCTGTGTGGGACCTGTATGACCTGCAGGGTCCTGCTGTACTGTTTGAGACTCTGTGTCCTCAGGCTCCACCTGGTGGTTGTTTGTTGGAAGTACCTGGCTTGCGCCACTTTCACATGTCTGCAGGAGGTGACGCCGGTTACGCCTGAGCATGTGACCTCCATCAGTGCGAATGCTGTAGGACCTCTGGGTACTTGCTGGCTCGACTACTGTTGCGGGTTCCCGTGTCCCTGTGGGAAGCTGTGTAGTTCTAATGCTGTTAGCAATTTGTTTTTGCAGCATTGTTTCGACATACATCTCTATCAAAAAACGTCCATTTAGAAAAGTGTAGTTATGTGCGTATGCATCCATGTATGTATCCATACATACATGGATACATACATATGTACCTTTTTATCATTTTATCTGTTTACATCTTACCTTAGTGTTGTCCTGCTTCTGTTTGGCTCACTGTTGTATGTTATCAATATGAGATTAATAAATACATCATGTGAAGTTATTCTGATCTCTTTGCTTCTAGGATCACAGGACTCTGACTACAGGCCCGTCGCCCTGACCTCTGTGGTCATGAAGTCCTTTGAACGTCTGGTCCTGTCCCACCTAAAAACCCTCACTGACCCACTCCTGGACCTCCTGCAGCCATGTTGACTGCATCGTCTACAGACCTGTTGGCTCTGTAGACGATGCAGTCAACATGGCCCTTCACTTCATCCTCCAGCATCTGGACTCCTCAGGACCCTACACCAGGATCCTGTTTGTGGACTTCAGCTCTGCCTTCAACACCATCATCCCATCTCAGCTGCACGTGCCCGACTCCACCTGCAAGTGGATCACAGACTTCCTGTCTGACAGGAAGCAGCGTGTCAAGCTGGGAAAACACGTCTCAGTCTCCTGGACCATCAGCACCGGCTCCCCCCAAGGCTGCTTTCTTTCCCATCTGCTCTTCTCCCTGTACACCAACAGCTGCACCACCAGTCCGTCAAGCTCCTGAAGTCTGCGGATGACACCACCCTCATTGGACTCATCTCTGGTGGGGATGAGTCCGCCTACAGGTTGGAGACTGACCATCTGCTGACCTGGTGCGGTCTGAACAACCTAGAGCTCAATGCTCTAAAGACAGTGGAGATGGTTGTGGATTTCAGGAAGAATGCAGCTCCACCTGCCCCCATCACCGTGTGTGACTCCCATCACTGTGTGTCTCCCCCCCATCTCCCTGTGTGACTCGCCCGTCGACACTGGAGTCCTTCCGTTTCCTGGGCTCCATCATAACCCAGGACCTCAAGTGGGAGCCGAACATCAGCTCCATCACCAGGAAGGCTCAGCAGAGGATGTACTTCCTGAGGCAGCTGAAGAAATTCAACCTGCCAAAGACAATGATGGTGCACTTCTCCACAGCCATCATTCCTCATCCTCTGCTCCTCCATCACAGTCTGGTACGCTGCAGTCACTGCCAAGGACAAGGGCAGACTGCAGCGCATCATTCGCTCTGCCGAGAGGTTGATTGGCTGCAATCTGCCGTCCCTCCAGGACTTGTTCACTTCAAGGACCCTGAAGCGCGCAAGAAGGATTGTAGCCAACCCCTCTCACCCTGGACAAAAACTGTTCGTGCCCCTTCCATCTGGCAGGAGGCTGCGGTCCATCAGGACCAAGACCTCACGCCACATGAACAGCTTCTTCCCGTCCGCAGTCGGGCTCATTAACAGAGACCAGGACCCACTGACTCTGTCATCCCCAACACAACCTCCTACCCGTCACTCCCCTGCACATCTATGTTTCTTCATTTAAACACTCGACACTTTTAACATTTCACTTGTTTACAGTTCTGTTAGCACTTTATTTTATACTCTTTTATATTCTATTGTAAATTTTTAATATGTTTCTATTTCTTGCACGGTGTTGATTGTTTAATGTTATGCACCCCCCCCCCCCCCCCAAATGACAGATTCCTTGTAGGTGCAAACTTCATTGGCAATAAACGGTTCTGATGCTGGTTCCACCCTGCTGGTACAAATAGACTCTTCTTTAATCCCAACATGTACAACTTTATTTAAATAAACAGCAAGAACAAAATATTTGAACATCGGAAAAGTCTTTGATGGAATAAATATGGAAGATTTGTTTATTCCAGCTGAGTAACGGCTCCGATCGGCCAGACTCCAGGACACATGTCTTCATGCTAAGCTAAGCAGCTACAGCTTCATGTTCACCAGACAGACATCAATCTCACCCTCAACAAAATGTCAAACTGTTCTTTTAAGGCGAGTCAGTTGTAGTTTAGTACAGGTGAGGTCATCCAGAACCCTCTGAACCGACCGTTCATCTGAGACTCAGGATCCATGATCTTCTTCTTCTGCGATTTCCTCAGAGTGAACAGGAAGAGGAATGTCTTTAAATAACAGTTCTTCAGTGACATGACACACGTGAAGCTTTAAATCAGCCTCCTCCTCAGTCGTCCAGCGGCGTCATGATCAGCTGCAGCTCTCTGAAGGCGCTGCCATGTCGACCGACCTGCTCCGCCTTGTTCTTCACCACGTTGCTCAGGTTCTTCAGCTGCCTGCAGCACGATCTGCACTTCTGGTGTCTGGAAAACAAACACCATCATCATCATCACCATCATCATCCTCATTGAGACCTTTACACACAAGCGATCACTTCCTGGTGTGTGTTTGTGCTGACTCACCGCTCCTCTCGGGTGATGTCGACGCCCACAGACGGAGTCGCCTTCAGAGTGTCAGAGATCAACATCCAGAAATGTTTCATGATGAGCTTCAGAGACGTACAGCCGGTCTGGATATAGCTACAGACAGACAGGCAGACACAGAGAGACGCGCACACACAGTTTGGATTGTGGATTTTGTGATTTTGAAACACTTTATCTAACTGACAGAAATAAAACTTAGTGTTGTGATTAAAATCTGTAGAATGTTTATATTTAAATATGAACCCAAACAAAATGTTGATTCACTGTTGAACTGTTCTTTGGCTGCAGGTCTGTTTTATATCTTATAGATAATGAATAACTGATCACCTCTCATATTTACTGTGCAGGAGTTGGTCGATCGGAGGAAGAATCGTCGTGCATAAGTCCAGTTTCCATAGCGACCTGAAACAATTATCAACTATCATTAAATCACATTTATATCAGAGTCTCTATTCACAATGTTTGACATCTGACAAGACTTCATCCATGATGTTTAGGGTTGAAGGGTTTTAAGGGTTTTGGGTGGACTCACGGCTGCAGGTTGATGATGTTCAGGATGTCCACCACAATAGACAGATCATTCATGGAGACAGCAGCGTCCAGAGCTCTCTGCAGAGAGACGTCAACAGGAAGTGGAGGCAGTGAGAACCAATCATTTGACAGGTCTGCATGATGTTAGAATAACCGACACTGCAATAATTCTTCTTTACATTTGATATTGAGATATGAAACAATACATAAACCCTTAGATTTAGATATGAGTCTCACCTTGATGTCCTCTCGGGCCCAAACGGACCGGACCGTCTCCAGGTTCTTGTGTCGGCTCCTCAGCATCACACACATGGTGTCATGACCCTTCTTCAGCTGAGACAGAGCTTCATCATCACTCAGAGCTCCGCCTCTGTTGAGAGGGGACGACTGAGGAAACACACACACACACACACATACACACACACACACTTAAATGTTTCAGTTGAACATCCCAGTGACTTTAGAGCAGGCATGGGCAAACTACGGCACGTTGGGCTTTTTAATCCGGCCCGTCGAATATTGGTACAAAATTGTCCAAATTATAGTAAAGACTTGATTAATTTTGCCTTTTTCCTGCAATACCCGGAGTTACAGTTGAGCCCACTAGATGGAGCACTCCGGTCAATTCTCTCTAGATGACGCCCACCCCCACGTTCACTACTTGATTGGTTCTTAGCAGTCACAACATGTCCTCTGATTCGTCCCCGATCACATGACCATTTACTGGAAGATCACAAACAACAGCATTGATTACCGATGGACTACCAGGTTAACTCAACACGGACGACTGATTACAGGTGTTGTTGACCGTGTTCTCTTTACTAGCAGCTGTTGTTGGAGCGATTAGTGAGCAGCGTGTCCAGCGAAGGAATCAAACCTACAGAGACGTCTGAAGTCACAGTTTGCGGCTTTGAGGAGGATGGACACAAAATGGAGAACTTTCCTTTTCTTATTATTGTTTATTTTGTTCTGCACAACTATTGTGAAGTCCCCACACACAAACTATAAAGGAACAGAACATGGACTGCTCTCCAGTGGACAGAGACTTCAGCAGCAGAGCTACAAGTGAGAACGACGACGACACCGAGGGAACGAGTGAGAGACGAGTGTGGACCACATTTATGGACCATAATCTAGTAGACTTATGTGTAAGTGTTCATTTTAATGTAAATATGATGTGAGAGAGATAAAGACCTGCAGCGCTGTAACTAAGTCTGGAAAATAAAACTTGTAAAACTTTCCACTAACTGTGTGTTTGAGTTCATAGAGGAAGATTTTAGAGAAGATCTTAAGTATCAAACACGACCGTTCATCATTAAAGAATACTTTATTACTCTGTCGTATTGTTTTAACTAAGCAACCAATCTACTTCCTGTTGACACCGGCACCATCACGTGTACGTGAAGAGTCACGTGATATTTGTTTTATTTTGGACGGAGATCATCTCTAAAACGATGCTGAAACACCACCTCTGTCACAGCATGGAGCCCTTCTGTAACAATGAGTGGACCAAAGAAAGGAAAAGTCCACAATGAGCTCAGAGTGTTTAATGAGGAGTGGGCAGCATCATATTTTTTCACCTAAGTGTGATCACAGGCGGTAAAAACAATATCAGCCGCCACTTTTCCACCAAGCATGCTAAATACGCTAGCAAACAGTCAACGCAAGAACGGCCGGCTACTGCTCGGAGGTTGGCAGCCAAGAGTCAAGCACTAAGGCAAGCTATTTACTAGGATTCAAATGAGCAAAGGCCAGCAAGCCTTTCTCCAAAGAAAGAATGAGTTTATCACGCAGGACAATGACTCGCCGTGTAGAACTAACTGACCAAGACTTAGCCAGCGAGTCAAACAAAAACGCCGAGTCATTTAAGTTCTATTTGTTAGCACTGGACGAAAGTAAAGACTTAAAAGACACCGCTGAGCTCTGAATCTTTATCAGAGGGATTAATGACAGCTTAGAGATATCGGAGGAATGTTTGACCATGGGACGTCTGAAGGGGACAACACGAGGACAGGACTTGTATGGCATCTGGTGTCATCCAGAGGCTGAAGCTACCTTGGTGTAAACTTGCCAATGTCACCACAGACAGATCGTCAAACTTAACAGGAAAAAACATCGGGCTGCTGAGAAGAATCCGGGATGAGGTGAAAGAGGAAAACCCGGAGCTGGATGTACTCTTCCTACACTGTGTGAGTCTGTAATGCAGTTTGATCATAAAGTGAAGCCAGACATAAAACTCGTTAACTTTATACGAGCGTCGTCAGTTTATTAAGTTCCTTGAGGAAAGTGATGCTGATCACCAGCAGTGTTTGCCTGCCCCCCCCGCTCTAGAGGAAACCTTCTCAGTGTTGATGAGGAGCTCGTGCACAATGCATCGTGGGACATGTAGTATGCACTTCAAGTGACGTCATCTACCCTCAACAAACACCTGTGCAGATGTGTTAAACTCACAGGCAGGAAGTCGGCCACGTTCAGCCCGATGGGCTCGTTTCTGGTGCTCAGGATGATTTTAGGATGTGGTTTAGACGTCGCCATGGAAACAGGAGGCTCAGAAGGAGGAGGGGGGGTGGAGGAGGGGGGGTTAGAGGTCACCGGGACGACCGCAGAGGGAGTCGAACGCTTTATAGAAGAGACGACTGTAGGCTCCACCCTCTGGACAGGTGTAGAGGAGGAGAGGGGAGGAGCCTGTAACACACACACAACTTTATGTTAACAAAACAAAAGTACATGAATCATGTTTCATCATTGTTTACATATTTAATGTCTCTTAATCACAGAGACAAACTGCTGCGTTCACTGACCTGCTGTTTTTCAGGAAAAGCAGATATCATGTCCTTCAGCTGACGGCCGAAGGCTAATATAGTGTCTAAGAAGAAGAAGAAGAAGAAGAAGAAGAAGAAGAAGAAGAAGAAAACCGTCTTTACTTTGTCCTCCATCATCACATCACACACAAGACACAAGAAGACACATCATTTTCATCATGTGTCCAGTACCTGAGCAGGTAGTGGACACATCATTTTCATCATGTGTCCAGTACCTGAGCAGGTAGTGAACAGAGTACCTGAGCAGGTAGTGAACAGAGTACCTGAACAGGTAGTGAACAGAGTACCTGAGCAGGTAGTGAACAGAGTACCTGAGCTGGTAGTGAACAGAGTACCTGAACGGGTAGCGAACAGAGTACCTGAACAGGTAGCGAACAGAGTACCTGAACGGGTAGCGAACAGAGTACCTGAACGGGTAGCGAACAGAGTACCTGAGCGGGTAGCGAACAGAGTACCTGA